TTGTCCATTTGGACTTTAAGCATCTGCCTTTAGACTCTCTTGATCAGCATGGTCCTATTCGTGCACGTACATTCTGCAAAAGCCAGACCCACTTTTTGTCCTGGGGCATTCCAGGCAGAAGTATCCCAACGCTCTTCCTTTACAAAGCTCCCTCCCCCCCACAACTCTCCTAAATTAGATAGTGGACCATTGGGCTGTCATTTGCTTATTTAATTCAATACTGGCAATTCTCTATTTCAGACATAATAATTACTGCTTTTTTCCTTCTAAAGGTATTAATAAAAGACTCTGTAAGACTATCTCCCACCATAATGTTCATAATAAAGCAAATCATTGGCTTATTTCTAGAACAGAGGATAACCCATCTCTAGGAGATATCTTTCCATTCTTAAAATTTGTAAAAATCAACATGACAGCTGAATGAATCTTAGATCAGAAGAGAGGAGTAAAAAAGAATGCATTCACTTTGATGTGACTGACTTTTGTTTACAACAGAAGCAGTTTTATTAGAATCTTTAAGATGTTTGGAAATACAGTATATCTCTATTATTAGCTAAGAAAATGCACTACAATAAGTCATGGTTTTGGTTTAGGTTTGACTTAGCATGATATGAATCCAGCTGTGGTATATAAACCAAGGCTTATGATTAATTGTTATTTGTTAATCAAGTTTGTTCAAATTATGATTAAAGGAAACCATAATTTGGATTGATATGTGAATTCAGGCAATGTCTGTTTTTAGGGCAGTTTTGGGGGAAATGTGACTTTCTAATTCCTAGCTTTAGGATCTGAAGCAACATAAGGTGATAGAAACAGGAAAAGTTGAATTGGATTGACTAATAACCCAGGAAGGATGGAAGGTTATGGTTGGCTCCAATCCCTATGTCTGAAAGTAGAACTTGAAGTGCAGAAAACTTGCACATTTATTTTTAAAGGCAATGAAGTGGTCCAAAACCCACAAATGACTGTAACATACAAAAACATCCAGCTGTCCTGGCATTTTTCCAATTTATTCTTCTTCCAGGCTGTTTGCAACAGGAATTAATCAAAATCACTGCAAAATGTTAAAGGGCCAAATTCTAGAAGCTTTGTGCTTGTTTGATATTTCTCCATGTTGCAAAAACCAACATCAAGAATTAAGTAAATGTCTGATAGTAAGTATGAGAGCTGTTAGGCTCTTTGGGAACGTAAGCTTGGAAACAGTTTGAACAACAGCATCGTCCCCTCTCTTCTTAACATGAAATCCTTTAATTGACTGGTCTCAGAAAAGAAACAGCATAATCTGGCATCCTGAGATTATACTCTGCTCAGCTGGGTCCACATAGAAAACTGATGGACCCAAAGACCTCTCCAGGTATTTGAATAGTTTGCTAAGGTGAATTTATTATTTATATAAGGCAGTTTGCAATGGTCAAGGACACAAAAATAAACATTAAACATATGTCCGTAAACTGGTATGGATCTCTTCTGCAGCAGAGTTCATTCTGGCCAAGCATTCACATCTTTTCCTATGAGAATTCCTTGCAGATTCCTTGTTTAGCGACTGCCTCGTTTAGCAACTGTTTGCAGTTATGACAGTGATGAAAAAAAACTTTATGACCAATCCTCATATTTATTACCTTCACAGGTCTGTAAAACTGAAGCCAGATCACAAGCAGAGTCACGGTTTTGCTTAACAACCGCTTTGCTTAATGACCGAATTACCAGTCCCAATTGTGATTGCTAAATGAGGACTACCTGTCGAATATGTCTGATTGAATGAAACAAAAATAATAACTTTATCAATGTGCTAAACATTGGAGTGGATTTTTCTTTAGAGTCAATGCTTAAGTATTTGTGGTGGTTGACAGCAAAAATATCAATCGTGTTGTTTTTAAAGCTATACACAGGAAGGTTAGACTTACTGAACATGTGGCGCATAGAGATTTTTCAAACTTTCCTTCCCCAATCACAGAGTTAAAATCTCAAGTATGACAAATAAGCTTTTGGACAAAAACGTCCCACAATCACAGATGTGAGTGTGATCCAAAGTTATGGAATCCTCCATGCAGACTGGCTTGGTGTATTGAAACTGGTTTCCAGATACTCATCACAGCATTTGCCATCTGTCAACTTGGAGATCATGCTGTGCTCCTCACGGAGCAGTTGACACGGATGTCCTCATAATTTGCTTGCAGATAATGAAATCCTGGGACCCACTTGGACTGGAAATAAAAAGCAAAAACAAAATACCCACCCTACAAATTGCTTTGCTGTGAGTTTCAGAAGGAGAAGATGTAGAAAAGGGGCTCACAGTAGTTTTGCAAGGCATTCTCAGATGGTCTTGGCTCTAAGCCATTGTAAAAAAAAAAAAAAAAGGAGGACCTTTGAAAACTGGTAATTAAATCTGTTTGGTTTTATGTTGGTATTTATTTCATTTTTATGACTCTAGCAGACTTGAAGCAAGCTCTGGTTTCACTTAAATCTGTTCTAGTCTTTGTGGAGCTTTCAGAGTAAAAAGTCTTGCATCATTTCTTCTTGCTGGTTGTTCTCTCTTCCTTACGTCATTTCACGCCTCCTCTTACTAATCCACATGGAGATTGCCCAAGAGCCAAAAAGCAGTCAATGATGGAATTAGGCTTGGTTTG